CTTTGTCCTTAAATTAGTTCCCATAAAAATCTTTTTGTACTTTGCAGCTTGTTATGATGTCTTGAGGTTGAAGGAAACGTTGCCATTAATTATGTCTTTGTTGAATATGGATATCTATTCAGAGTTAGTTGAACAGTTTCAAACAAAATTAGCATCGAGCCATACTCAGGCCAGCTTTGGGTTGGTTATCAAGAATATTTTTCTCTTTCTTTTCTCCTTTTCCTTTTTCCTTTAAATTTTTTTTAAATAGCTGAGAGAATGCTCTTCGGCAAGTGTGTATTATCTAATATATTCAGCTTTCAGTTGCTACTTTTTTCCAGATGAAGATGAGCTTAATTGAGGTTGTCCTTTTAAGTTTGTAGGGCCCTTCAGCATCTCACACAAAAGCATCTAGAGGCTTTTCATTTGTCTTGAGTATGTTTCAGATGTACAAATATTATTTACTTTAAACTTCAAATCAAAAGGTGCACTGTAACTGTCTTAAATAAAACATTAGCCAAGACTGAAATATATATAAATTCAAAGCAAGACTATTTTTTTCATTATCAAAACATTTATGTGAAGGCAGCTCAGTTAAATTTTAGGATACATGTTGGAGGAACTGTTTAACAACACGCTTCAAGCAAGCAAGCACTTAATAAAGGAATTCATTCCCAGTCCTCCGAAGATAAATATTACAAACCCACTCTACAGCTAAGCTGGGGAGTTAGTTTCTGTTGCAGACTCTCTTAAATGTTTGCATGAACAAGATGGGGGTAAAATTGATTTTGAAGAAGTGAAGCTCATCAGTGAAAAATACCTAGGGTGCTCATCTAGGGGGGCATTTTGAAAAAATGAAGAAAAGCATTCAGCTACAGGCTAAGCTCTATATAAACCTATTTGTAATATGAGGGTCAGGAAGGCTGATGAATGGGACTTCAGCCCTGGGAGAAAAACCGTTTTCTGTTAGCATTTAAATCAATCATTGGAAATTATAGTACATCCTAGGGAACATGGCAGAAATTGTGAAAAACAGAATAAGATCTCCTTTTGCTTTTAATAATAATAATTATAAGCCCCAAGTACTATGCAACAAAGTAGATTGATCGATTTAGGAATAAAATTCTCAAACAACCCGGTGAAAGATAAGTATTCCCTGTTGTAGCAAAAACAATGGGTATGATCCTTTTTTTCTCAATAAAGATCATGTTTAATGTCTTAAAAATATTTTGTAGTGATTTTTATTTTCGTTCCTTTTTCCTCCAGCTCCTTTCCTGAAATGGAACCAGAGTGTCCCTTGTTGTGAAGCATTCCCGGGAAAGAGGCGCTAACCTTGCATCGTTTTTAAGTATAATATACATTTTTCATTTTAAATGGAAGCTCATAATGACATTGTGTGGAAGGGATTCCAGGCCTCTGTGATTATCACCATGTCTCCTTGAGCTGCGCCTCTGGAAAAAAATGTGAAGGAGGTAGCCCTCTGGAATGAATAAATCCTGCCGCCTGCCTGTAATTATTTATTAAAATAGATTAAAGAAATAGGCTAAAAAGGAACCCGCTACCCATGTTAGAGATGGAATAATAAGAGTACATAGAAAGGGAAAATTAACACCAGGGAGGAAAGAATGTTAGGTATGTGCTTTCAAGAATACAGCCATGCCTGCATTGTTGGCTTCCACGCAGACACATGCCAGGGTTTTTCATTTCGCAGGGTGGGCTGTGCTGATGAGAACGTGGGTTACTAACACCGATGTATGTGTCTCTAATTAACATTAGAATGGAGTGGTAAACATAACCAGGAGAGAATTCAAGAGAGAAATGCGCTAAAAGAGAAGCCGATGTGTAGAGGGGAGGGGGAAGAGACGGGTTGGAGGGAAGAAATCGGTCCGCCCTTGTTCAGATGGGTTTAATTTTGTCACTTGAGTCAAAACTGGAAACCTGTTTTCTAGTACAATTACTTGTGTGTTTAGCGGGTGCTGTCCTTGCAGGCTCCTTTCATTGCAGGAGAATTTTATAAACAGCACACCATCATCAAACCATCTTGGGGGTCAACTTTCCACTTGTGCCTTTAGCTCTTACGCAAGTACTTTTATAGTGTCTTCTAATATACAGGATTTATCTTCGGTTCTGAGAAGAGCTTTTAAACTTAATCCCTCGCTGGAGTACTAATTTGTTTCTTCATCCTTAAACCAGTACTTTCGGTTAACTTTCATCAGATGTGGTAGATGTCTTTAGTGTGGCCACTCGAGAAACGTAGGTTTGCGTTCATTTTTTCGTTTTGTGGCTGTTTTTGTTTGTGGCTGCAGGGAGAACAGCAGGGTGGGGAGATTTCGATGATGGTTGCTGCTGATATTATTCGTGTAGTTCTGTTTTTTAAAATTCAAAATACATAACTGGAAACGATATTTGTGGACGGTTGTCTTAACAATATTTCAAATCATATTTGCCTAAAGAAAATAAAAACAACTACCTATTTTTTAAAAAAGGAATGCCAGAACTTATTTTTGCTTTTTTGTCCTTGCTTCTTCCATAATATTGGAGTGGAATAATATGCTATGACGTTTATGTATGAAAACAGAATACACTTGCATATGGTATGAGGAAGAAAGCTGCTTCTAGGAAAATGAACTTTTTCTTTCTTTTTTTATGTTTTAGGAAATGATTTATCAAAGTTACAAAATGTCTCATTGGGAAAGCTGTGTTATCTATAAAAGCAATCTGCATTTGACTTCCTTTCATAATTCTAAGGCTAATGTAACAAGATGTTGCAGAAGAAAAATGCACTCAAATCCTTTTAACCGTATGAACACTCGTGAATTTTATCGGAGTTCCTACGTATCCACTTTATTTAACCAACTAAATGAAGCATGTACTTTTTAAAAATATTTAATGCTCAGCACCAAAAATTGAATCCAAAGAAAATGTATATTTCCTGTGTAATATCTGCCTTGCCTCCTTAATTCATTAGAAAAAAATATACAAACCTACCCAGAGAAATGCTGTGGGTTTTTTTCTAAAAGATGTTTGTGTAGAGAGGAATGGAACCATCTTCACACATCAGTGGAAAGCGGAGATCTTCAGTGTCGGAGTTCAGAAAATGAAGAAAACTTATAAAAATGTACAGCTGGGAACGTCATTCCAATGAATCTCCCTCCCCACGAAGTTATTACTGTGTGAACAATGTTCATTAGCTTTACCAATATTGTACTTCTGTTTATCTGCCATTACCATCTTAACAAAGTAAATCACTCCTGTTCTTTCCAGATCGCATCTCTTCCCCCGCCCTCTGAAAACCAACATTTGTTACCCATAAATGGGGGGGCGCTCAGTGATAAGTATAATAGCTTAAATTGAATTTTCCTTTGAATGATTTAGTGAATACTAGAACACATTTTTACTTTGTTGTTTAGACTCAAGAAGGCATAAAATCTCCGCCATCTATTTATCATGTAGTTATTTTAATGTAAACATGTGTCCGTTCAGATGAAGTGTTTTCATTATTAAGCTAATTCCGACGTGTCTCAGATAGACCATGAGAAGCCGAGCTCTGGCTGATGGGGAACCGAAACCTGCCTCTGCTCAGTCTGCTGTCAGATACGTCTTCATTAGTTTTTTGTCATTCACCGGTGGCAAATGCTGTATAAATGGAATGACGATCAGGCCCGCCTTGATAACTTGTCTTATCTCATTAGTTTTCACATCAAAGTTAATCAGCAATGTGAATTGTAATTGCTAGAGGAGACAATGCGTAGATGGCTGGTTGCTTTTTCTCGCTCCCCCCTCTATGGCATCTTGAAACATCAGCAGGCTGGCTGGAGCAGATAGGCTCGGAAGGAAAATGATGTGGAAGGCATAATAAGCGAGCTGCTCAGAATTAATGAGCTAACCCAATAAGAAAAGAATGGCCAATCAATGTGAGTTGGGCAAATATAATTTAGAAATAATTGCTTGATTGGTTGCCTATAGTAGACTGATTTGACCACACACAAGGATTAAGAATTAAGATGTCAAGGCAAAAAAATAATTTGGCAACTGAGGGCATGTAATTTTTTGTGTCCTTCCCTTTATGATTGGAAGAGATGGGTGTTTGATATGCTATTCGCCAGAATGAAAACATTAGACACCCTCTCGTTCTCTTTCTGTTCTTCTCACAATGCAGGCCCATTCAGAACACAATTGTGATACTCCTGGACAGGACATGAAAAAGGTATGGATTGAGAGAGAGAGAGAGACAGAGAGTGTGTGTGTGTGTTCCCACTTATCACAGTTATGCCCAAAGGATGAATGGGTTGGTACATAAGGTGTTTGCATCTGCGCTGAGCTGCAACATGGCATGGCAAAGTGAAAGATGTGGATATTTGCAAAATATGTCAATTGTCTGTTCTCAGCCGAAGAGTTCTGCTCACATCCTGCATGTTCCTAATGCAATTTTCCCCATAGCTATTCACCAATTAGTAGAGGGCCCTTGCTATATTCTTCTGTCTAAACTATTGGGAAGGTTCAGCCAGAAGGTAAATTTGCTTTGATCTACATTACACCTAATTGAGTCACCAGCAATGTCTCTATCCCAACATCAAGAAATGTGAAAATGTTAGATTATTTCACTGGGGATTAAACCTAATTTTCGCGTGTTCTGCATTAACCTATTAGGCTGGCTAATCTGCATTGCTAATGTGACTGAGGCAGCTGTCACAGCTAAAGAAAAACATGATCATGCAATCCTTGAATGAATGATTCCCGGCCTGATTAGTCTTAGTGAAGTTAGCTGAGCCCTGGTGATAAGGAAGGAAAATTCCCAGGTTGCCAATAGCTTTGAAAATTATCAGACTGTAGGCAAAAATATACCTCATGATTCACAGGCTTCGGTCCAAATACCGAGTTGAGTGACATTATTTAAGACTGACTAAGGCTAACTCGAATTGTCACTCGCATAAATGTTTGTGTTTATTTTAAGGGACTAATGTAATGGATGCAGATTTAAATGCTAATAGACGCCAGCCAGACACATAAAACCCCAGGCGTTGTTACCGTGTTGGTCTTTTATTAACATAGATTAAATTGTAATATTTTCTAGATAAATTGGCAAAATCAGAAAGATGCATTGCCCCCCAGAATGCTGGATGAGGACGACTTTTGCAAGACTTCTCGTTTTCCTGGAGATGTGTGGATCGCAGTAGGGGAGGTTTATATTTCCACTACTCTCCTTCGTTATCAGTTTTAAAGAAAAAAGAAAAGAAAAATAGGGGAAAAATGTGTTTATAAGGAGGAAAATAGATTTCTGCCGCTCATCGGCCAGAACCACTTCCTCTGCTTGTCCACTTAATTGGGAGGACTCGGCATGTATTTCTCCTCATGCCTGTACTTTGCTTGGGGAAGGCTTTGCTGCAGTTTCAAGCCTTTGCATGCTCCTCTCTATTTGATGTCAACAGCAAGACAGCCACCATGATGGGTATGCTTCAGATGTGGAGAGTGTTCAAGGGAGTTCGGTGGCTGCAAATAGAGCTGGGAGTCCATTTAATCCGATTAGCAGTTCCACAAAATGGGCCTGCCCAGCCCACTGTGGACAGAAGCCTTTACTTTATTTGTTTCTATTAGCCAAGAATCAGTTATCAGAAAAGTGGAATTTTGCCCCATCAGATTGCCCAGACGATCAACAGAAAATAAATGAGGAAGGAGTCTAATGTGTCAATATTTGTCTTTTGGCCCTAATTGTCCACAGAGGGGACTTGCTGAGCGTGTGAGGTTGGCAGCCTGGGTTTATCTGTGTGCACTTGATGGCTTTTCCCACTGTGTAGGCACCGGAGCAGCTACATGAACAGTAACGCCACCTCAAAGGCCGACAGCACTGGCTGGAGAATAAAGGCATGTTAAAGTTCTAAGAACACTGGATTTGACAGCCAAGGAGAACCCTTGATGGATGAGGAGGAAGACAGAACCCAGCAAATGACAAGGCGTTTGTGATCAGGTTTCCAGTGCCAGGGAGGTAGAACAGAAGCACTGAAGAGACAAGAGCTTCCTTTCCTGCCCTGGTGCCAGCATGTCTTTCCGTTTCCCAGGAAGCTCAGCTGACTACAAGCCTATGGGGGCACAGCCCTCCTCTTATTTCCGTTGCCTCTTGCTAGTTGAGAAGTTTTAGTGTCTCAAATTGTTTTAGTCCCTCAAATGGCCTTTAAGTTTTCGTTAAATTGCCATTAACGCTAATGGTAATAAAATGATTTAAGCTACAATATTTGAGTCTTCACTAGATACCAGATATTATGCTAGGCACTGAATATTTGATTTCCCCCCAAACCCCATGTGATGCTGCTATCATAGGCCCATTTTACAGATGAGTCACTGAGGCCCTGAGAATAATTTGCCTAAAGTCACTCAAGCAGTGGCCATAGAGCCACATCTTGAACCTAGGCAGTCCCGCAGGCTCTTCATTACCACTGGATCCCAGAGTCCAGGGCCAGCAGGCCTAGAGAACGAGTGTCTCCTTAAATTTTGTACCCTAATCATCCACCAGAGTCCCCTTTCCGGACACCTTCCTTCCTTTCTACCGATCTCTCCTTCACCCCTTGAAAAACTCAAGACATGGCCCGGTGCGGTGGCTCACGCCTGTAATCCCTGCACTTTGGAATGCCAGGGCTGGTGGATCACCTGAAGTCAGGAGATGAAGACCAGCCTGGCTAACATGGTGAAACCCCATCTCTGCTCAAAATGCAAAAAAATAGCTGGGCGTGGTGGTAGGCACCTGGTAATCCCAGCTGCTAGGGAGGCTGAGGCAGGAGAATTGCTTGAACCTCCAATTGCTTGGAGGTTGCAGTGAGCTGAGATTGCGCCACTATCGTCCAGCCTGGGCAACAAGAGCAAAACTCTGTCTCAAAAAAGAAAAGAAAAGAAGAAAAGTTTAAGACACAACAATGGCAGAAATGGTGCGCAAGCCCATCTCACACGGTCCCATTGACTGAGTGTTCTCAATAACACAGTCCCACTCCATTTTCACAGCATCTTTTCACGGAAGGTGGGACCAAAATTTTGATTATCTAGGCCTCCTTTAGGCCTCTCAGACCACAGCGACACTTGAGCCCCGAGTCAGCAGAGATCACTGCCAAAGAGTCACGCTTCAGCAACTTATCTGGACCGTGGACAATGGCGGTGAACTGACCTTTTTCCCCTTGCTCAGCTGAAAGGCGCCCTCCCCTCTGGTTCCCTGAGATGAGCTGTGGCTCCGGATTCATTCAGAGAAGACAGCAATTGGATCTAATCATGGAGCACAACGCACGCTGGATAGGCCGTCGGCACGGAGCCATAATCTCTGCCTGGAGTGAGTTCTTCCGTAACTCCAGCCCATTGCACAAAATTGATGGGCTCTTTTCTTTCTGGCTGGATCTGATAGCATTCCAGGAAGTCTTTGTACTGCTTTATACCACAGGATCACTATACCTGTGTGGGAATGTTAACAAAACTATGGTTATGAAACACTGATATTATCTTTCAGTAAATTAAATCTGCTTTCTCTATGAATAGTGGAGTTAAGAAAGCTGAGACAAATTCTTTTTTCAAAAAAAATTTCTTTGAATTCTATATTACTCACACGTAAGTTATTTTCTCTTTCTAGCAATTCAACTGGGCTCATTTCTCTCTAATAATGTGATGTGTCTTCACAAAGCCAAAACATCTTTTTGACCTCCTGCAACAGCCTCTCAGGGACACAGGTGAAGGCCATTCCCATTTGCATGGCCCTCAATACCCACTGAATGCCCAGGAGGTGCCAGCGATGTTTGACAAGCATATCAGTCTCCTATTGCTGCTGTATCCAATTACCACGTTTAGTGGCTAAAAATGATTCAAATAAATTTTCTTACAGTTCTGGAGGTCAGAAGTCCAAAATGGGTCTTAAAGGGATCAGCTGGACTGGTTCATTCTGAAGGCTCCGGAAGAGTCTCTCCCTTGCCCCTCCCAGGATTTAGAGGCTACCAGCATTCCTTGGCACCAGGCCACATCACTCCAAACTCTGCTTCTACCTCTGCCTCTGTCCATGTCACCTTCTCCCGCTCTGATGTCCCACCTCTCTCTTGTTAGGGTCCTTTTGATTATATGGAGCCCACCCAGGGAAACCAGGATAATCTCCCTATTTCAACATCCTTAACTTGATCCCATCTGAAAAGTCCCTTTGACCATAGATGGTAACGTGCATAGTTCCAGGAGAGCATGGTGGGGGGAGGAGAGAGCGGGTTATTCAGCCTACAACATGCAGTCGATCCTAAAAAGAGAGGCAAAGTGCTTGTCATTCATTTGTTCATTCATTCAATCGTCCAGCTGCAAAGATGAGTTTGTGAGCACCATGTTCAGCCCCAGGATTGCAGCCGAGAGCAGGACAGTCTTCATGTTGTGAAGCATGAGATCCAGAGAGTGGGTGGCAGAGATCAGATGACAGGGAACCCATCCAGCCTGGGATGGGCACTTGTGTCCAGAAAGTCAGCCCTGAGAAAGTGACATTTATGCCGGGCCTGAGGGAAGGGTAGGACTTTGCTGGGGGAAGAGGTTAGGGAAAGGTGAAAAAGCCACAAAGACAAAATGACTCTCCAAGCTTCAAGTAACTGTCAGTCTAGAGGGGAAGCATTTAACTGCAGTGACAATGATTTTTACTGTCTACTATGGTCAAAGCTGAGAGCCCTCTTATAAGTGAGCATTAATGTTTCTGCTGTTTTCTTGAAAGGGCAAAGGATCCCAGGGGCTAAGAGGAGGGTAGGGCGAGTCGACAGAAGCTTCCTCTGTCTTCTACTTTTTTTGTTGTTTATTTGTGTTTTTAGACACAAGGTCTCACTCTGTCATCCAGGCTGGAGTGCAATGGTGCAATCATAGCTCAATGTAACCTCGCACTCCTGGGCTTAAGCAATCTTCCCACCTCAGTCTCTCGAGTAGCTGGGATTACAGGCATGCACCACCATATGTGACTTACTTTTTAAATTTTTTGTAGAGAGGAGTGTCTCACTATATTGCCCAGGCTGGTCCTGAACTCCCAACCTCAAGCAATCCTTTTGCCTCAGCCTCCCAAAGCATTGGGATTACAGGCATGAGCCAACACACCTGGCCTTCCCTCACTTCTGATTGGACTTGTGGGCTGCATAGCTTCCATGACCAAAAGGTCCTATACTAAGAATATTTACACAGCCTGTGGAAAGCTGCTGCAAGGTGCTTATTAATTACAAAGGGAAAAATAGTTAATTCAAGTGAAGAAGCGTGGTGGGCATTACCTTAGTCAGGTATCAGAGCTAACATCACCAGCCGTGGGACAACTTGACATCGTGCACCTCTTAACAGGATGTGCTGAGAGGGGCTCCACAGCAGCCTTCCTGGGGTCTTCCTGCCCCATGTGTGTCTCCTCAATACAGTCAGGTGGAAACACCAGTCAAACCCAGGCTGAGGGATGTTCTGTAAAACAGGTGACCCATACTTTTCAAAACTGTCAATAAGGCAAACAACAAACCTATTTTTGTCTCTAAAGATTCGCCTCTTCTGGATATTGAATATCAATGGAATCATGCAATATGTAGTCATTTGTGACTGGCTTTTTTCACTTAGCATGTTTTCAAGATTTGTAACTACATCAGCACTTCACTTATTGTTATTGCTGAATAGTATTTCGTTGTTTGGGCGTATCAGATTTTGTTTAGCACTACATCAGTTTCCACTTTGGGGCTATTAAGAATAATACTGCTATGAATGCCAGGCGTGGTGGCTCATGCCTGTAATCCCAGCACTTTGGGAGGCCGAGGAGAGTGAATCATCTGAGGTCAGGAGTTCGAGAGCAGCCTGACCAACATGGAGAAACCCCGTCACTAATAAAAATACAAAATTAGCCAGGTGTGGTGGTGCATGCCTGTAATCCCAGCTATTCAGGAGGCTGAGGCAGGAGAATCGCTTGAACCCAGGAGGCGGAGGTTGCGGTGAGTCGAGATTGTGCCACTGCACTCCAGCCTGGGCAACAGAAGTGAAACTCCATCTCAAAAAAAAAAATGCTGCTATGAACATCCATACACAAATGTTTTTGTGGACATGTTTTCATTTCTCCTGGGTGTACACCCAGGAGTGGGATTGCTGGTCATATGGTAACTCTGTCTTTGACCTTTTGAGGAAGTGGAAGATTGTTTCCAAAGCGGTTGCACCATTGTACATTCCCACCAGCAGTGTGTGAGGGTCCCAGTTTCTCCACATTCTCCATCAACACTTATTTTCTGTCTTTTGTATTCTAGTCATCCTAGGGAGTGTGCATTGGTATCTCATGTGGTTTTGATTCCTTGTACTATTCTTACTTTTCTGTAAGTCTGAAGTTGTGTTAAAATAGAGAATAAAAAGAAAGCTGTTCTGTGCCACTATTATTCTATGATAAAAGGATGTTGGGGAGAAATCTTATTTTTCTCTGAAACTGAGCTAGTGAACCAACATATAGATCCTGAGGATAAGAGCAGAGCTAATGACCTGAGTTTTAGAAATTCAAATACTTTCCAGGCCTACTATTTCCATTCATTCACTCAAAAAAACATTTATCAAGCTCCAATTATAAATTTATAGTAAGATGAGTCTTAGTCCCAGAGAGATATTCTCCTTCTCATGAGAGGACATATATTAAACTAATACTATAGTATTGCCTTTCTATTATTTATTACTCTCCAGTTTGCCACAGACCCCACCACTCTCTATTGTCTGAGTACCTGCTATGCTCATTTACCACTCCTTGATTGGTCCCATAAGTACTCAAGCTTGCAAATATCATAGAGGGAGCACCTGACCATTTGATGTCAGAGAAAGCCTCCCAGTGGCAAGTGCCTGTCCACATTAGGGTGAATTTAGGTTGTACTCTATGAACAGAATCCCCTTTACTTGACCTGTTAAATGCTACAAAAGAGAAAAGAGTATTTGTCAACATATTTGCACAACTCAATAGACTTGATAATTATAGTTTCTCTCTTAATTCTCATAAGTAATCTGCTTAATAATTGACTTATTTGTCAGAAATTGACATTACTAGTAATTGTCTTCAATTGGTTACCAATAAAGCAAACCTACTCAAACCGGATTAAGAAAAAGAGTCCATGTTAACAGATGTGGCTTTGAACTTGACTGGACCCACCGTCCTTCTACAGCTCAGCTCTGGTGGCTTCTGTTTTGGTTTCATTTGAGGAAGCCCCCTCCATGGATTGGGCTTCAAAGCCCCCAGGCCTATACTTTTCTCACATCCCAACACTTCCAACAGATTTTAGAATCAGTATATTTAGCTTACCATCTTGACGCCTCTCTGTTTTGTCACATCCCACACTGTCAGCAAATTGTATCAGCTTTCCTCGAATTAGATCCTGAATCTGATAAATCATCACCACCTCCACCACTCAGCCTCTGCTACCTAAGCCATTTTTACTTCTCACCTGCAGCCCAGCCATAGCCTCCTACCAGGTCTTCTTGATTGTCACCCTTGACCTCTATGATCTTCTCTTTATACAATCCCTGGAGTGACCCTTTCAAACCTTGTCAGATCATATCACTCCTCTGTTCAAAACTTCCCATTTGCTTTCTTTTTTTGTTTGTTTTTCATTTTCTTTGTTTTTATTTTGATTTTTTTCTTATTATTTTTCTTTCTTTCTTTCTTTCTTTCTTTCTTTTCCATTTGCTTTCATCTAGGACACAGTGAAACCCGAGTCCTCACCAAAGCCTTGCCTGATCTGGCCACCGGCTTCCCGTGACCTCAGGGCCTGGCTTTGCCTGCCTGTCAACCCAGCCTTACTGCTGGCCTCCTTCCTAGTCCTCCAGGTTGTGAAGCATGCTCCCAATTCCAGATCTCTGCTCTTATCATTCCTTCTGCCTGAGGTAATTTCCCAGATACAATTCTGATTTTTTCAGGTCTCTGCTCAGCTGTCTCCTTTTTTTTTTTTTTTTTTTGAGACTGAGTTACCCAGGCTGGAGTGCAGTGGCGTGACCTTGGCTCACTGTAAACTCTGTTCCTGGGTTCAAGGGATTCCCCTGCCTCAGCCTCCCAAATAGCTGGGATTACAGGCACTCACCACATGCCCAGCTAATTTTTTGTATTTTTAGTAGAGACCGGGTTTCACCAGGTTGGCTAGGCTGGTTGCGAATGACTAACCTCAAGTGATCCACCCTGCTGGGATTACAGGCGTGAGCCACCGTGCCCAGCCAGATGTCTCTTTATCAGAGATCTCCAGGCCTTCCCTGACAATTTTATCCAAAATAGCTATGCCCATCAAGTCCTATCCTCAGTCTGTCTTGATTTTTTTTTTCATTGTACACATCAGCACCTGATGCATGATGCACTTATTTTTCTTAATTTGTCTGCTGCCCCCACCACTAGAATATAAGAG